TCATGTATAGAAACTGCGTGTCTAGTTATGCGGTGACTAAAGAAAGCTACAATTCCCCAGTAAATGCTAAAGGCGCTTTGATAGGGATTATTTTTCGACATTACATCCCTCGCCCCTCCCCGTCTTCCATGTCGTGACAGCGTGAGAAGCACGAGGTCATCTTTAAAGGCTTTCTGTTTAAATAAATCACTATCAGTCTGTGATCCCTAACGCCATATACTTGCCGCTCTGACACGTTACCTGTCCACGGCCGCATATCAGCTTGCCGGAAGTGGGGAATGTCGCAATGCACTACGTGTCACGTCGCCGCCAAGGGATCACCCACTACATCTCTGGTGTGTCAGAAGTGGGTTTCACAATCTGGTTCGCTGGTAACACAGTTTACGTAAATCTTTGATCAGCTGGAAGCGCATGAATGTCAATGTTGGCCTGGCTGGATTGGAGTGTCGCCAAACCCCGATTCCGGCTCTATTCCTATTGGCGGAAATAGTCACGTGACGTTGTAGATCTTTGACTCGCGACGTCGTCTGGATAACACTGTCGGATTAAGTCACGCACATCTTTCACGACGATCTCCTCCAATTCAAGGTTTGATTATTATCATGTTTATACTTATTTTGAGGGGAATAGGTACCCGCATTCGATTCCCTAGACTAACATCTAGTCTCTGAAATGAACATATTTTACAGAAAAAAACAGTTGTTAAATTATAGTTATAAAATATAAAAAGGAGCCCAGAGACTTTCTTCATTTTCATACTGTAGTAATCTAGACTTGCCAAACATTATAAATTTGCATGGGCTGTATTGGATATATTTGTTTCAGGGTCTGTATGACAGATTATGGATTCCCCACAATGTCGGAATCATATTTCAATGTTCATCGCCATAATATGGCAGAAGTCGTCATATACGTGGCGTATTAATCATTCGTAATTCATTAAGAACATTTGTAAGTAATAACATTGTTAACACTTAAAAAAATACATAAGTTATCTTGAGGTATAAAGAACACATTTCCCTACAGAATGAACAATATATTTTATTATGCCCTCTTAGTTTCAAAATCGGTTCAACCAAACTCTGAAACACCTAGTGATCCTATCAGTGACGATACAGGACGAAGGAGTGAGTATTTGTGCAATAAGTGTTGTTGTTTTTTGTTTTGGCTTGACGATACGTGATGCACCAGGTATATTATGCATAAAACCCGACTCCTTCTCACAATGGCAGTAGAGCTTCATTGTCAACATCGAAGCCATTTCAAAACGTCCTTGTCTGTGATACATTGCGACCCACTTTCCATGACCTGTTGGATAGTGTATCACGTCTCTCAGAACGTGAATGGGCGATGTAGGCCGCTGCGGGGCTACTCTCCTTACCGCTAATTTCATTCAAAATCTATTCGAGACAGGTAAAGGGACTGTGGCTGCTTCAATGATGCATCCCCTTAATTAACTCGGTCGTTTCAGTCCAACTGTTTTACCAATGCGCCCATGCATAGAGGAGTTTTCATATTTATGTCATTAATCTGCAGAGCTCCAGGTAACCTTTTTTACCAATTGAGTTTTTACTCGAAGGTTTCTATTTTAATTGGGTTATTACATTTATCATTGGGTAACCAATATTTTTTCACTCATCTTTTCATCACTCTAATGGGTTTTTTCCCAAAATGAGTAAGCATTTTGAGATTTAAAAAAAAATGGAATAATGTTTTAGATGTATATAACGGTTCTAAATATGTCTTGAATCGGAAAGTAAATTAGCTCGAACTTGTGTTTCGGAAATTACCTCAGGTGTATTGTGCATTATCGCGTGCTGTTTTCAAACAATTGAGTTTTTCATTGAGTTCATGCGTTTCTGTAAGCAAGTTAATTGAAAGTAATTTGGGTTTGAATACTTTTGGGGGTACTTTATGCAAGTACACGGCTTATCTGTAGCTCTGTTAATCGCTGTAATGTTCACCTAATGCGAGACTGTGAGACTATTCAGTGACTAGATTCATGTTTGTATGGACACCCTTACATACCAGTGATTCCATACATACACCGCCCGGAGAGCGGAAGGTCCTGGGTTCGATCCCCGACCGCGTCATACCAAAAGACGTTAAAAGATGGTACCTGTTGTTACCCTGCCTGGCGCTCGGCATAAAGGGGCTAAAACAAGGACTGGTCGGCTCGGAGTCAGTATACTGTGTCTGAGTGGGGTATTCATGTTAAACTGCGGCATGGTATCTCAGTGTGCTAGCACTATAAATCGGCATCAGTCCAGACTAGTACAAGCAGCAACACAAACACACACACGTACATGCACGTCGCTATATAAGTGCAATAATCTTGGACGCGACGTTAAACCCCATTTCACCTCACCTCACCTCACCCAACTTCATCTCACCTCACCATACATACACACGTATTGCACGTGTATATTTACACGGTATGCAACAGTGACTACATGACCGGTTTTACGTACGTGGGTATATCTGTTTATGTGGTCAATGTACATGGTGTTTGGGGGTAGTGCAAATAAATATGCAGAGGAGAATATGTGTATCCTCAGTGTCACAGTGACTAGTATTTTCGCACAGATTCTTTTGGTGTCTAGTATACCTGATAAGCCTATATATATATATATATATATATATATATATATATATATATATATATATATATATATATATATATATATATATATATCTGAACAAGGGATGGAACAATGAGACAACGATGGTACGGAATGATCTGTGAGGTTCTGAAAGTGTGAAACAAACGAATTGTAAATTTACATCGTTTGGTGAAGAGGTGGTGGTATGAGTTGAAATCCGCTCTCACCTTGCAAAACTGCCTGGCCCAGACACTAAGTATCGGTTACACGCAATTTGTCGATGCGATTTGACGAGCGAACGTTTTAACTAGGCTACCCGACCGCCCCCGCGTCGCTTCTGAAACCCCATTGATGATCACAGGAGTGCAGTCGCAATATATGTTTTCAGAATTAAAACATGGCCGCACGGCAGCCATGTTGAAAATAACGCCCCACACCTCAACACCCCCACCCCCCGAAGAACATGAGACCTTTCAAATGATAAAACATTCATGCAACTACGAAGTACTGTCATCGACAGCATTTGTTGAAATGTCAGAGGCGAATGGCTTTAGCAGTCAGCAAATATTAGTCGTTAAAGTGCACGATACCTTGGCGTGACCTCGTGTTACGTCGGCTGCATGGAAACGTACATATTTGTTTCAGAAAATATTCGTTGTTCTCTTGCTTTTGATCCTTGTTGTGATTCCATGACAGAACAGGCTTCACTCTGTGTGATAGGGGTCAGTAGGGGGTGGGAGGGAGTCAGGCCGTGTGACAGGGGGTCAGGCATCTTCCCGAGACAAGTGAGTTAACTGACTATAAAAGTCCAGTTTCCACCCTTGCCGAACTAGGCTGGTATTATGGAGTTAGATTTTGGCTGGACTAACGAGTCTATGCATAGTCCAATCAAAATCGCGCACCGAAATCGAAATCCAGTTCGTAGAGTGTCATGCAGATTTCGGTCGACTGAAGGATTTGCAAAGCATGTGCACCGCTAACTCGTTGTCAACAGATATTTTCCAAATCTTTTCATGTTTTTAATCAAGGTGCTCACGTGCACTTCGCGATGTAAGACTCGTTTTATCACAATATAGATCTTGATTATCGATCAGATCGCAGAGCTCCAGATAAGCTTTTGGTGTTGTGGGTATTTTACCCATGCATTTTAAAATCACTGGGTATCAGTAATTCTATCTGCGTATTCAAATTTCTGTTACCCACTAGTTTTTACACATGTGGGTATTTAAGTTAAATATTTAAAAACACTATTCATCTAGTCCCTGCAAACTGGTGTCGTGTGGGTTCGAGAGCTTTATAGGACTCATTATGGCAAATGATCAGGATGTAACTGTCATCGTGGAGTTTGGCAAGGTTGACGGAATGCCCGTTTATAATTTCAAAATAAGTTTCTGATTTGCTAATCGAATACGCAGGGTTACTTCACAATATTTTGATTATACAAACAAATTTTATTTTTGTAGCGTATCTGTAATGTTTGTTGCGTATTTGATACGCTCGGATTATATTTTACTGCGTATTTCTGCATTTCTGATGCGTATTTCACGCAGATACGCAGCTTATCTGGAGCTCTGGATCGTCTTGACTGGGCGCCACCGTTTTGTTTGAAACAAATGCAAGTGATACGAGAGTTTGAATCTGATTGGTCAATAGGAGAGGCATAGAAAGGACATAACTCGTAATAGCCATTGGTGGCGCTACGATCGAGCCCAGGAATTCCAGCCTAGTTCGGCAAGGGTGGAAACTGGACTTTTAAAGTCAGTTAACTCTCTTGCCTCGGGAAGATGTATTTTCTCAGGAGGCAGCTGTTTCAAACTCGGGAGCAACGATTGCGAGATCGTTAAACCAAGGAAAGTAACTCCTAAAATTAGAGAAATATTAATATTCGAGAACCTAATATTAAAATATTACTTCTTTTTGAGGAAAGATAAAAGTTGTTTTTTTGTGACAACAGTCGATCACTCAAATGCTTTCAAAGGATTGCAACGTATGTTAAAAGTTTGTATTTGTAGCCTTGAGGATACTTATGGTGCATAATTGGTTGAACATTGCATGTCGTTACAGAAGAGCTCCCACCCACCCCAACCAACCCTACCCCCACCCCACCCCTTATGAGGAAAGAGGTGCGCCCTCTCGGCCATGCTAGGATGTTCTGGTCATTTCGAATACAAGCTTTGCTAATATGATGATGCATGGCCTGTTAATTGGCACAATACTGCACAAGGCGGCGATAAAACGCACTCACTCACTTAACTTACAATAAGGTGGCGAACAGGAATGACGAGAAAATCGTAGGGCAATTATATGATACTGTTAGAACCTCTGCTAACATTTGACCATTTTTGTTGTTGAATAAGGTTATGAAGTTTCTAATCAATATTGATTTTGTCTTTGCAGAACACAATGAAAAAGCAAATCGCCAGTTTCATAAGCTCTAAGTTGGGCACTGCACGTGCTGCGCACGTGGCAACAGCGCATCCTGTGAACATTCGCACTGATAACAGTAAATCCCTTGAGGCTATCCCCGGCCCCAGTGGAATACACGCCCTGCCGTACATCGGACCCGCCTTCATGTTCCGGCCTTTCGGTGAGTTGTGGCTTTGTCGTTTATATTTGATCTTGATTCGATTACTACTAAATGTATCTGCCTACGCTAGTTGATGCGCTGTGTATGTATAGATACACCGATCTAAAGGTGAGCGATAAGAACTTCAAGTAGTTCACATGTTTGTTTGTTAGTTTGTTGTTGTTTAACGCCGCACTCAGCAATATTCCAGCTGTATGACAGCGGTCGGTAATAATCGAGTCTGGACTAGACAATCCAGTGATCGACATCATGAGCATCGGTCTACGCAAGTGGGATTGCCTCATGGCTTGCTGAAGACCTTTTCTACCCCGGATCATAGTTAACATGTGAGTGAGTGAGTGAGTGAGTGAGTGAGTGAGTGAGTAATCAGAACGAAGTGCTACTCGAACCTACGGTCATATGTTTTGGCACGCCTAAGGGAGGCAACTGTGCCAAGCGAATTGCGATGCTTAAGGCGACAGGACCGCCATACATCCACACGCAAAAGATAAACACATATACAATACTATAATGCTATTACAAATGTAATGCGTCTCATGTACATATTTCTCAAAAGTGAGTAGGGAGGTCACACATTTTATATATTTTACATTGAAAATCAAAATGTTGTGAGAAGAAAACGGGATTTATTTTTTCCCCACAAAGTATACCGACAACACAACTGGGTGCACATTGACCTTGGCTCTATATACAACGTCAGTTGTCAAGCTTGACAAACACCCTGATAACATGTGGTTGGTTTGGTTGCTGCTGGATTATAGCCGGTATTTGTAATGATAATTACTGTTATTTATATGCTAAACTGTTTGACTTTTATCTGATTAGTGTTTTATATAAACTGTATTGAATTTATGTTTTGTCTTTTCAATCTTTATATAGAATATGTATAGCTGAAATATTGATAAATGCGACATAATCATTTAAATAAACTAAATATCTAATAGAAAGTATACCAACTTAAATATTTTCCTCTATTTTGATAACTTAAAAAAAAATTATTATTAATTAAGACTAATATGTTGCACGAATACAACCAAATGTATCCGGTGACAAAAAGCAGGAAAAATTGACAATTTTTGTGAAAATCGTGCGTTTTGCCAAAACGACTTTGGGCTACGTAGAACGAAATGAACGTGTTAAGCTACTGTTTAAGACTGGTACATGGTGAACATACTCGATAGTAACTTGGTTTGGAATGTGCCTTCAGAGATTTAAATGTCATGTTGAACAAGTACTGTGACAGTCATATTGTGAAACTTGTCATTTTCTACCCCCATGTGTCTTTGTGTCTCAGAGTGTGGTAAAGGTTTTGTTTGGATAGCATGAGCAGATGTACTCTAATGTTAAAACACAACTCCAATAAAATATATACATATTGACTTTCTACATGCTTTTAGTTTTCTTTCATAGCCTTTCTAACTCTTGGTCTACTTCCTTTTGGCCACACACTTGTTGCCCCAACCAAAACATGCTATTTTTCGTCTGTTCCGGCGGATAATCTAGACTGGTCTTTGTTCCTATTTTTTCTAGCATGTTTACAATTATTATCAAACCATTGTTTTACTCCATATGGAATCTGTTTTGGTGGATTATACGGACTGGTTAATCTCTTGCATTGACAATATATATTTACATAAATTCTCGTTGCACGACTGTTCGTTATGTCACTAATGTTCAGCCTACACGTGTGGGTGAGAACAGGCTCCCTTACAACAAGTGCTTGACGTTCGAGGAGACTAAACGGATCGGGTGGTCACACATGTCAGATTGCGTGTAATGCTATCGCGCCGTCGAGGATCGTTGCTCATAATATCAGTCACTGGTTTCACTCCAATATCTACAGACATCCTTGATTATTGTTGAGTGGGACGTTAAACAAACAAAATTTATCATCAGCGTACACAAAGACGACTTTATCCATATAGATATCGATTAATTGTGGTTTATGTTCACGTACGTGATTGGAAATAGTATTCGTGGAATCACCATTGTGAGATTGATGACGGTGAGGAAAGATTTACACTAGATCCATTTCAGATTTGGGCACGACGATAACTTGTTTTGATTTAATTGATCTACACAACACGCCTTCAACGTTTTGAGCAGCATCGCTTTCGTTTCATACTTCCCCATGACGGCTCCGTCAGCGAAAGGACATCATCGTCTACCTGACCGAGTCCATGGCAAAATGACTAGTGACGTGAATCACACGCGTGCACTGACGCACGTGTTATACACTGTCAAGTAGTTGTTTTTAGACTTTTATATAGTGAAGGTTTTGAATGGTTCTGTCCAAATGATTGAGGACTTCCTTCTTCGTATTTCAACTGTTTGGTAAATTTCAGGAATCGCGAAACATGATTAAAAGATTATAAATGATTGGTGCCTTAAAAGAGTATCAGTGGTGTGTTCGCGTCTTGTATTGTCATGGTCGCTGCTCTATAAGTGGGGCTTTTTGATCCGTAAATGGATCGGAATTAGCTCTGTGGAGGCTAGTCGACTGATACAGATGTATGGGTCTACGTTTGCACGCGACAGTATAACACAATATTACAATGATCATCTTATAGATATATTCTTTGCTTCCAGATCACTGGAAAATTAATCGCCATGCCTACACAGTCGCCATTTTTGTCATTTGACTCTTAGTAAGAAAACATGGGGTCGCGTAATCATTTTTCACAAAACAACTATTACGAAGACTAGGTTGCGTTCTGACTCAGACCAAAATATGTTCTCACATATACATACCCCATTTTCTAACATATACATTACGCCATGTTCTCACAAATACATTACGCCATGTTCTCACATATACATTACGCCATGTTCTCACATATACATTACACCTTGTTCTCACATATACATTACATCTTGTTCTCACATATACATTACGCCATGTTCTCACATATACATTACGCCATGTTCTCACATATACATTACACCTTGTTCTCACATATACATTAAGCCATGTTCTCACATATACATTACCCATGTTCTCACATATTCATTACTCCATGTTCTCACATATACATTACCCCATGTTCTCACATATACATTACCCCATGTTCTCACATATACATTACCCCTTGTTCTCACATATACATTACATCTTGTTCTCACATATACATTACACCTTGTTCTCACATATACATTACATCTTGTTCTCACATATACATTACATCTTGTTCTCACATATACATTACTCCATGTTCTCACATATACATTACATCTTGTTCTCACATATACATTACATCTTGTTCTCACATATACATTACGCCATGTTCTCACATATGCATTACCCCATGTTCTCACATATACATTACCCCATGTTCTCACATATACATTACGCCATATTCTCACATATGCATTACCCCATGTTCTCAAATATACATTACTCCATGTTCTCACATATACATTACCCCATGTTCTCACATATACATTACCCCCTGTTCTCACATATACATTACGCTATGTTCTCACATGTACATTACACCTTGTTCTCACATATACATTACGCCATATTCTCACATGTACATTACTCCATGTTCTCACATATACATTACCCATGTTCTCACATATACATTACGCCATTTTCTCACATGGACATTACGCCATGTTCTCACATGTACATTACATCTTGTTCTCACATATACATTACACCTTGTTCTCACATATACATTACATCTTGTTCTCACATATACATTACATCTTGTTCTCACATATACATTACGCCATGTTCTCACATATGCATTACCCCATGTTCTCACATATACATTACCCCATGTTCTCACATATACATTACGCCATATTCTCACATATGCATTACCCCATGTTCTCAAATATACATTACTCCATGTTCTCACATATACATTACCCCATGTTCTCACATATACATTACCCCCTGTTCTCACATACACATTACGCTATGTTCTCACATGTACATTACACCTTGTTCTCACATATACATTACGCCATATTCTGACATGTACATTACTCCATGTTCTCACATATACATTACCCATGTTCTCACATATACATTACGCCATTTTCTCACATGGACATTACGCCATGTTCTCACATGTACATTACTCCATATTCTCACTTATACATTACCCATGCTCTCACATATTCATTACCCATGTTCTCACATATTCATTACCCCATGTTCTCACATATACATTACCCCATGTTCTCACATATACATTACCCCATGTTCTCACATATACATTACCCCATGTTCTCACATATACATTACCCCATGTTCTCACATATACATTACCCCATGTTTTCATACATACTGTGCCTCGTAAACAGCGACTGGCTGACTTTGTAACGTTTTAAAATAGTAAAAAAAGAATTGCACTACTTTAACGTCATGGAATTGCAAAAGGGAATAATGGAAGCTTTCGGTGCGATCCTCAAATCAAATATTGTTTATTCACAAAAAGTGTTAGGCCGTAGATCCTACGACATAATACTTTTCTGAACTCACACAATGCACCTAACAACATGTCTGGATACGTTATGGGTATATACATCTGTCTGAATGTTGCAAAGAATTTGAGGGCGGTCGGGTAGCCTAGTGGTTAAAGCGTTCGCTCGTCACGCCGAAGACCCGGGTTCGATTCCCGACATGGGTAAAATGTGTGAAGCCCATTTGTGGTGTCCCCCGCTTTGATATTGCTGGAATATTGCTAAAAGCGGCGTAAAACCTCACTCACTCGCAAAGAATTTAACACCTGGGGTTCCAGATGAGCTCTGAAGTGTGCATGTCAAGGTGCATTGTGGTCGGTATATGTGTTAGTAGGACGACGCGAACTCAAGTGCATGTATGTTAGCGTCATTCACGGTAATGTATTCATCAGACTGACGCCATATAATTACACGGTAAAAATACCATTCGCTTTTCATATACGTCAGAAGCCTAGATAACAGGCGAGTTCAAGAACAAATGCAATGTGGGACGTTGTGTATAGGTATTAAGGCACGGTGTTACG